CCATTGGTCATAAGGTGTGGCCATTCCATTTCCATTTCTGGAAACTTAGACCCCAGGGCCAGTGAGCAGATCCAGGGGGTTCTGTCTCCCAAGCCTTTCTCAAGGAGCTGCTCCCAGGAAGGCCCCGCTTAGTGACTTCCCAGACAGCTGCGGCTGCACAAAGCTCGGGCCAGCTCGGCGGGCCAGCCGCAGCCCCGCCTCCCAGCCGTGAAGGTCACTGCCCAGAACGGTCACAGCCGAACGTGAAGTGCTTAGCAAGTTCCAGTCTGACCTCTGGAATGCAGAAAGTGGCGGAGCCGTAGTGGGAGAGCGCCATGGATGCTCCAGGCCCTTCCGGGAATCCCACCAGGGCCGGCGCATCTGGTTCAGTCTGTGGGCTTGGGTCTCTCCTGGAGATGGCACTGACTTTTGGGCTGACCTCAGGCATGACAGAAATCACCTGGTGAGCACTGCAGGGAAAGGTCGGTGCCCCCTCTGAGGTGGCCACACTGCAGGCCTTTGGAGGTCTGCCACTGAGGAGCAGAAGTCATCGCACCTCATTCTGTGTGGCTTGAATGTCACTCTCCTGAGCAAAGCTGGGCAGAACTCAAATCTGGTTCCTTGCCCAGTAATAAAGGGCCTCTCCCAGATGCCTGGCCTGTGTGCTTTCTCCTTCTGTCCACCTTTCCTTCCTGTCCCTCGCCCGGGCCCTCTGAGGCCAGGGTCTGGGGCCGTTGGTACAGTGGTTATTTTCCAAGACACCTGCGCTGGAGGCCGAGCTCGAATCCTGCTTCTGCCTCTTGATAGATGTATGTTTTTGCAAAAATGTCTTAAAATTCTTCATCTAAAAAGTGGGATTAAGCGCTGTCCATCAGCCCGGATGCCATAACAAAGCGGCCCGCACTGGGTGCTGATGGCAGAGTCTGTCTCTCACAGTCCCGGAGGCTGGAAGTCCATGACCAAGCCGTGGCAGGGCTGGGCTCACCTGAGGCCTCTCTCATTGGCTTGTAGACAGCATCTTCTCCCTGTGTCCTCACGTGGTCATCCCTCTGTGCGTGGCACCCTTGATGTCTCTCTGTGCATCCAAATTTCCTCATCTTATAAGGACACTGACCCTACTGGATTAGGGCCCACCCTAATTTTAACTTAATTACCTGTTTAAAGGCCTTATCTCCAAATACAATCACATTCTGAGGGGTGAATCACATTCTCAGGGTACTGGAGGCGAGGGCTTCAACATAGGAATGGGGAGGGGGACACGATGCAGCTGTAACAAGTACCTGCTTCCCAGCATTCTTGTGAGTAAGACAATGCGTGCAAGTGCTCTGGAAGTCACGCTGCCTGCTCTGGGACAACTGGGGCTCTGAAGGAGGCTCAGAGCAAGAGGCATCTTGTGTCCTGGCCCCTGGCCCCCAACCCAGGTGCGTCCCCAGAGTTAGCCGCTGTCCCAAGGCACCCTCTGCTGCTGGCCCTCCAAGGAGGAGCTGCACTACAGCCCTGTGGGTGTGTGAGGCCACAGCCTTGGTCCAGGGGAAAGATGCAGGAGTGACCAGTCGTGGATGTAACAAACATAACAGTGTGGTCAGTGTTACAGATGGGTCCAAACAAGTTCCTTGGGGGTGGCTGAAAACAGCCCACCAGATGCCCTCCATCACTGGTTCTCAAGCCCCTGGAGGGCAACGGTTACTCTCTGCTGCGTGTCCCAAACAGGGTCCTAAAGTGGGCCTGGCTTCTGTGGCCTGTCTGGGACAGACTCAGCCCCCCAGCAGCACCAACTTTGGACCAAAAACCTGTGCCCAGATTCTTGGATAGATCAGGGGGTTCTTTGGTGATGGGATGAACAAAAAGTGGCTGGAGTAAGAGTTTTGACCAGATGACCCACTCCCCTGCTGCTGGCAGAGAGAGAGGTGCAGGCACGGCATGGGCACGAAGCCCCCAGTCGCACTCCCTGGGCTCTGCCCGCTGTCCTCTTCCCACTGTGCTCAGGCTCCAGCCCCATGCACTCTTGTTGGTTGTGAGCAGGGCACATGGGCCAGGTGGCAGAAATTTGCCTCTTTCCTTTCTTTAACTTAGAGCATTTCATAATGCCAAGGACACGACCTGGCACATGAGGCCATAAGGAGGGGCCAGTGGCTGGTGCTAGAACAGGCTCCCGCCATTGGAGAAGGCCCATGACCTTCACTATATATGACCTTGGGAAGGTGCTACCTGGCGGGCCTCTGGAATGCCGAGCTGTCAGAGGGACAGGATGGAAAGGATGGAGAGCCAGGAGCAGCACGACGTGGTGGAAGAAGGCTGTACTCAGGTGCTGGTCAGAGGGCTGGTGGTTCTCAGGGCGATCTTGGGCAAGCCACCAGGCTCCTGCACCTCTGCCTCCTGTGGATGGGACATATGACATCTGTCGATTCATAACTTTACTGAGTCAGGAACAGATGAGGCAGAGATGTAAGACCGGCCATTAGAGGTCCACAGACTCCCCAGCTGAGTGTTCAGAATCACGGTCTTCCATGTGACTGTGTCCCCAGGCCTCCTTGTAATTTAGCAGTGATGGCTTACAACGTCTGGGGAACATTTGTGCTGTACCCTAGAGAGATTCCGGAAGCCCCGGCCACGATCAAGGCAGTCGCTGGTTGGCTAAGAGGAGAATGGGTTCAGCAGCCCCTCAGGGAGGTGAGGCAGAGACCGAACGCCAGTCCTCAAGACCACGGCGACACACCTGGAAGTGGCACAGGAAGCCCGGAAGATGGAAAAAAGAAGCGTTTGTGTTTGCAAGGCAAGACTGGTGCCATTTGAATTCCCGTTCATTCATGTATGGTGTGGACAGGGCTAGTGTCACAACACAAGCAGCAGTGAAGCCGGAGCAGCGAGGCTGGAGACCGTCCTACGCCTGCACCCCGAATCTGCTCAAAAGCACACTCAGAATCAGACCAAATGAGACCGTGTCCGGCAGAAGCCAAGCAGCTTTTTCTTGTGTTATGAGCTCGGTCAGCCCCCGTGCTTTTCTGAGAGGAAAGTGCTAAAGTCGCAGAGTTAGTTTGATTAGAGGGAGCACAAAAATCCAGCCCTCTTTTCACGCAGCCTCTGTGTTGCTCCGCTCTGATGGCTAAGGGTTGGCCAACCACCTGATGTGTCACTGTTGGCATCAGGAAATGGGTTCAGCTGGAGAGTGGCGATGTCCCGAGGGAGTGTAAAAGGAACTTTCTTAGGACACTCCAGTCTTGGGAATATACCTTGTCCTCCAGAAGCCTACAACCTACGTTGCATCCCTCCTAAGAGGGCCATTCCCCTCCCAGCCCTTCACGAACCACACGAGCATGGCTGGGTTCTAGGAGATTAGCCAACTCACCATGCGCAACCCCTGCATACGTAGGGGAGATGCCCTGTGTGCCCCGTGCAGGGCACATAAGTACTGTGTTCAGAGGTACCCAGAGAAGGAGGAGAAAATCACCTTCAAAGCATGTTAGAGTTTCCCAGGTTGTTTTCCATTGAGAAATTGGGATTGAGTCTCCCCTGTTTGTTTTAAAAACTCAGTTGTTATCACAAAAGCAGCACATGATCATTGTAACAGTTGACCGTCTGGGTGTTTTCTGCGCCTGGGCCCGCTTGTTGGGTTTTGTCATCATGCGATATTGTTCTGCTAGCTGAGTCCCTGAGCGTGAGCTTGAGGTGATGGAAGGAAGGAAGAGCCTTGGGAATGGGTGAGCAAGTGTCAATGCTGGGAGAGGCTCAAGTGGCAGAGGACTCTGATCTTCACTGAGGTCTGGATCACGGTGGAGAGGTGGGCAGAAGCCTTGGAAAGAAAAATAGAGGCAGGACTTCTGGGGAGATTCATTAGTCCTTGACAAAGGGGGCTCCTGGGTCCCACCTGGGAGCTGGGTAACTTGGGTTTCAGCCTGGAAGAATGTCATAGGGAAATTGTGCTCCATGGGAGGGTAGGGAATTTTATGAGGACGGCATTCAGGCCTCTTACAGTAGAGGCACGAGATGGACTGAGCAGAGACACTGTGAAGTCAGGGGATGATGGGGGAATTTGCTCAAGGGGAGACAGGATGACAACACTTTGACTAATGGCCAGTCATGCAGGGGTGGACCTGGAGAGAGTGCAGTATCGACTGATTGTGTTTCATTTGCTTTAGTTACAGATATCGTAGGCAGTGGTAGAGATAAAATTGCTCTGTGGTGAGTCAAGTGTCCCTTGGGATCGGACACATCCAGACTCTCTGAGTCATTGACAGCTGGTGGGAAACACAGGGAATGAAAGGTGGAGGGTGGGGGAGGGGGCACTCTGCACATGAGTTGCGCCGTTGCTGTCAGGAGGGGAACCAGAGAAGAACAGGCCGCGCGGGCGAAGGCCCGAGGGAACGTGGAGCACGAGTTGGTTGGAGAAAGCGATGCAGATCGTGGAGAGGCCGAGAGAGACCAGATTTCATGAAAAAGACGGGATGTCCCAGGGTTCCCGATCAGGGGCCTTAGGTGGGGGTAGGAGAAGCTAAATACAAAAAGGCTCAGGGAGAGCTCCGTGGGGCCCCAAGTGAGTTGAGGAGGAAACATGAGGCCTCCAGCCCTCCTCAGAGGGGTCTAGCTGTGGACTTGGGCAGCGAGTAGGCTGGTCTTCTTCACAGTTGGCAATCCCTTCTACGGGCTCCTCTCACAGCACAGCTGCTGGTGACAGAGACATCCGCGTAGGGCAAGGATATGCATGAGCTCGTGGTTCCTTAAAATAGAACATGTGGGGCCCCAGTTCCCAAGCCTCCATACAAAACACACTGACCCCAGCTTCGCCGTTGAGCTGGGGAGCTCCCTAAATTCCAAACGGGGTTGTTGAAACTAAAACTAGATACCCCAAGTGGTCGGCTTAGGGGGCAGCTGTGACCTCCAAGTTCGGCTCCTGATTCTGTGTTTTTCTCTCCCTCCTCCTTCAGATCGTGGTGTGTGCAGGCGCCTCCTCACCTGGCAGCCCCGCTGTGGCCCACAGTTGGTGTCCAAGGTTTTGACAGTGTGGGTTTGTGTCTTTCCGGCAGGTGTCTCCTCTGTGACTTCCCTGCTGTCCCTGGCTTGGGTGCTAGCCTCCTATCACAAGCTGCTGCGGGACTCCAGGGACGACAAGAAGAGCATGAGCTACCGAGGGGCCCTCGTCCACCTCTTCTGGCGCCTCTTCACCATCTCATCCCGAGTGATCTCTTTTGCCCTCTTTGCTTCCATCTTCCAGCTCTACTTTGGGATCTTCGTGGTGGTCCACTGGTGTGCCATGGCCTTCTGGATCATCCATGGCGGAACAGACTTCTGCATGTCCAAGTGGGAGGAGATCCTCTTCAACATGGTGGTAGGGATCGTGTACATTTTCTGCTGGTTTAACGTCAAGGAAGGGCGGACTCGATATCGAATGTTTGCATATTACACGATAGTCTTGACTGAGAATGCTGCCTTGACGTTCCTTTGGTATTTTTACAGAGACCCGGAGACCACTGACTCCTATGCGGTGCCAGCACTGTGTTGTGTCTTTATTAGCTTTGTGGCTGGGATTGCATTGATGCTCTTATACTATGGTGTGCTGCATCCCATGGGGCCGCGAGCTAAGATCCTTGCCAGCTCCTGTTGTGCCGAGCTGCTCTGGGGCATCCCTTTGCCCCCCGATGTTGAGCCCATGGCGCCTCCAACCCCTGGGTACCGGGGGACCCAGGTCACGCCCACCAGAGCCGTAACGGAACAACAGGAGGATCTCACAGCTGACACTTGCTTGCCTGTTTTCCAAGTGAGACCCATGGAGCCCTCTATCCCACCGGGGCGACCTTACTACCCAGAAGGGCCCCTCATTAAGATTGACATGCCAAGAAAGAGGTACCCAGCTTGGGATGCTCACTTTGTAGACAGGAGGCTAAGGAGGACTATTAACATTCTGCAGTATGTCACCCCCACTGCGGTAGGCATTCGCTATCGAGATGGACCGCTCCTCTATGAGTTGCTACAGTATGAGTCTTCGCTCTAAGAGCATCTTGACCCAAATTGAGAAGGGGACCTTAAGTTTGGTTGCGGTGACCACCGCCTGCAAGAAATATAGCCCTCCCTTCCCCCAATACACTGAACCACCACCACCACCACCGCCACCACCACCACCAACACCACCACTACAAAAAAAAAATAATAATAATAACGAGTCACAACCCCTTCAGATAAGCTTTCTTTCCAGTCGCTGTATGTATACAAAGATATTCTCTATGTTTTGTAAGTAAAAACAAAAAGAAAACCTTTCTTTTGTTTTTTACACATAAGAAACAGTATTGAAAAATCCCACACTATGTTCATAGGGTGGAGAAGGAGGAGATGTCTCCGCTCCAAAAGAACAAAAAAGTTTTATACCTTACACCAGTGTAGATCATTTATGGGATTGGTGCTGATTGAAAGAACAAAACAAAACAAAACAAATCAAACACAAACAAACAAACAAAAAACCTTCAACTGCCTTATGCCCTTAGGTGCTGAGTTTCATTAAGTACTGTCACGTTTTCTCATGCAAAACTCCCTGGTGATTTTTGCACCAGGAGAGAGAAAATTAAACAATCAAATGAAACAAATCTAGAAACGAAGAAATGAAAACCAACCTACAAACACAACACGAAGCAATCCTTCTTCCTATCTGATTATTTGTATTGAAGAAAACAAATTTACAAAAAGCAGAGGCGTAGAAACCCATCCCTCTTTTCCATGTCTCTCTCTCCTCCTCTGTCCCTCCCCCTCTTCCCAGAGCCTTCTAGGAGCTAAAGGGCTGTTTGAAACTCAAATGGCTGGAAAAGCTACTTGAAGGCTGACTATGTGCCATTGTAGCAATTCGCCTAGCGAAAAATCACATTTGTTTCCTGGTGAAAAGCCAAACAACAAAACAAAAAGCACCCCATTAATTCGGCAAGGACAGGAAATTCTAAAGCAAATTAAAGGAGATTCCGTATGTGTAATCAAAAGAGAATCAGTAATAATAAAACTCAGCATAGTAGCAAAAAGAACGACATCAATTTAAAGGCACAATACTTAATCAGTGGCTGGCAATGATGATTTCTCCCATCATTTTAAGGCTGTGAACGTATACATCTATCACGTGAGATACTGCGTAAGGCCTCTTCTTTTCCATTTGGTGGGAAGCCTTAAATTGATCTGGAAAGAATTCTTCATTTTTCATTTGTGCTTTTTTTAAAAAAAAATAATAATAACGCAAAGAGGAAAACTAGAATATACATATATATATAAAAAGTCAAATTGTAATAACTGACCCATTTCGAAGACTGTCTGGTGCTTCTGTCTTTCACCATTGTGGTTGGCTGAAAGTCATTCAGTTCACTTGGTGCATCCAGGTTGAATGGGGAACTGTGTGCGTGTGGTGTGTGTGTGTTTATGTGTGTACGTGTGTGTCCCTGCTGCAAGGTCTTGCCAGAAATATACAAAAGCGATGTAAGACAGACTCTGATTATGGCTTGGTTGAGGGGGTATAGGAGGGGCTGGGGGCGGGGGAGTGGGTTGGACAGGACTGTGCCCTGGCGAGCCCTGTCTGGGCAGCGAGACTCATACCAGCAGCGCACTCTGGGTCTTAGAGGCCATGTCATTTGAGAGAGGGTTTGGCTCAACTGTTTATTTCCTCACTGTACCTAGTCGAATTTCTGGAGGTGTTGCAAGTATGTTCAAGCATTTTAAAAATCTTTATGTTTCAAAGTATTGCTTCTTTAAAAAATATTTCTGTTCTAGGGCATCATTTCAATCCCATTGTATCTCTACTTGGGCACAAAAAAAGAAAAAAAGGAAAAGAAAAAAATTCACAAAAAAAGATAAAAATCTCTACAAAAACAGATATACATATATATATATAAGTATATATATACACACACACACAATATTTTTACGTAAATACCATTAGTCTCTGTTGTGTGTAGCAGTGATTTTTTATTTTTAATTCCAAAAATAACTGTTTAGGGTGCAAGACCTCACAATGAACTATTCTTAAAGAAAAGTTCAAAAACTGAGGATTTTTTTTTTTTTAATATTTGTGGGTTTTTTAAAAAAATATTATTCGAAGAGGCTTCTCCTCCCCCACCCCTTTATTACTTACCTAAATTTTTTTTTTTTTAAATAAAAGAACATGTTTTGGATATCAGTGTAAAACTGAACGTCCTTGATCTCACATGCTATCACCGACCCTTGCAGGGCTATTGTTCCTGCAGAGGGGAGGAGGAGGAGCAGCTGTAGGAAGTGGGTCTCGCAGAGCACACCCGGCCGTGGTGCAGACCTCCACAAGGGCTGTCCCGTCTCTGCCATCTAAGGGACAGCCCTGGCCCCCACAGGCCACTTGGGGTTGGATCTGGCCAGAGGTGCTTTCTGGCAGCGTCTCCTTGTCACTGGCCTTCTCGGACTGCTCTGAGCTCCGCTGTACTCTGCTGAGGCTGGGAAGGCGAGGCCGTCTGGGGTCGTGCCCTCGGCTGGTGGGGTCCCAGCCCTCACCCGCCTCACGTCTGGCTGTGTGTGGCTGCAGCCGCCCCGGGACCTCTGCCGCTTTGGCTTGCTTGTCTGTTTTTGGTTTCTTTCTTTTGTCTTTCTTTTTTGTTTCAACCTAGCCATCGGCTCTAATTTGCCATCTCGACTCTGCTACTTCACACCCAGTGTGCATGCACATGTGTGCAGGGACACTCACACTTACTCAAAACTTAGAGGGAAGCTGCTGGTGTGGACCTGGAGCACCAGACATTGGGGTGACAACTTCCAGCTCGTGGAGGGCCCCCGAGGCCTTAGCCACCAGGGACAAATGGGAAGGGGCAGGAGGTTCTGGCAATGTCGGGGCCTCTGCAGGGCTGGGCTGGGGACAAGGTGCGCTTCTCCCTTGAAGTGGCGTCCCCCCCCCCCCCCGTCCCCCTGCCCCACGTGCTGGATCTTTCCTAACAATGGCAGTGAGAGCATGCGTCCCTGAGCAGCAGCAGGGAAGGCAGGTCTGGCTAAGGGACAGGAAAAGAGGAAAGTTAGTAAAGAAGTGGAGGATGAGGGAGACAGGGAGCGAGGGAACGTGAAGGCAACTGTCCCCTCTCCTCAGGGTCATCAGCCTCTCAGTGCCCCACGCTTCCAGGAGCAGGGACACCCTCCCCCCAACAGTCCCAGTCCCAGGCCAGGTGGGAATTGTGCACACTCTCAGTGCTCAAGCCCGCCCTGGGACAGGAGGTCTGTCTCCATACCTTGTACCCGCACCCCATAACTTGGGTCCTGATGATGCAGATCCTTCACACTGTCCTGTGGCTCTGTGAGACCTGGTGGCCCCAGCCCATGCTGGGCATCTGCTTCTAGTCTGTATTTCCTGGGCCCTGACCGCCCCTCAGTGGTCAGCCCATGATGCCCCACTGCTGCCTGGTGGAACACCCACCGTGCTTTAAAAATAAATCTCTGGGTCCATTTTATTGCCATAACCTCTTGATGAAAAATAATCAACTCCCAGTATTTAGCTGTGAAAGGAGATAAGCCTGTTGGTACCAGGAGGTATAGGAAAAAATAAACCGTCCCCCTCCCCTTCTCTGTTGCCACCCCCCACCCATCAAACATGCCCACGGACCCCACATTTCACTCCTCTTGTCGCACAGAAAAGTGACTCTTATTTCACTCTCAGAAATTTGGTGGTGTCGCCAAAACATGACTGGTTTTGTTAGCATCACTTCTGCAAGCCTGGCTTCTCCCTCACTCAGGGAGGTCTGCCTCCTGTCTCGGCCTCTGAATGAAAGGAAACCTCAGTCTTTTCAGAGAGCATCAAGGTGATGTCCCCTGAGCTCACTGTCACAGCCTGTGACATCCCAATCGGCAGTGTCATCAGATCAGCCCTCATGGACCTCACTTGCCCCAGAGTTTCCCATATCTCAGACATGCTCCTCCACTTTGTCTCCAGAAGGTGTCACCTGCTGTGTAGGCTCAGAGGAGTCCCGGCAAGTGGGGGAAGACGCTCGCCCCATGCAGACTGAGGCCCAGAGTGGAGCAGGCCCCATCCCCCTGACTGCACATGCCGTCATTCTGACGCAGCCTCCATCAGGGAAGACATTTCCCTGTGGCCTGGGGGGTCCCCCACACCCCCACTCCCTAGGCACAGAAGCATGCAACACTCTGTGGCCCCTGTGGCTCTAACCCAGCCCCTCAACAGCCATGGGCCCTCTGAGTCCCATGATGGCTAAAAGAGAGCAGGTCCCTTTCTGGCCCGCAGTCAGGGGGTGATTCTATCCGTCGCGTGGTATCTCCCTCCATAGACATCAGACCCTATCCCGAGACAAGCCTGATTGTCAGAAAGAAAACTTGGCAGGATTTTCAGAAGTTCCAAATTCCATCATTTTTTCTATTCTTCCTCCAGTTTGACCCCCTCCTACCACACGGTCACAGGGGCAGAAGGAAAGGTTTTGACACTGATCTTGCTCGGAGCAGCACTGGACAGGCACTGGCCCGCGGTTTCTGCACACCTAAACTCCCACCGCAGTTTTCACCTGCCTGACAGAGGAGGCACGCTTTCCCCTTCCCTGTCTCTTCCGTGCACCAGGGCCTACGGTGAGTCCCCAACCTTGGTGCTCCCAGATCTCAGCAACACTTTCTCCATCCACCACCTGGACACAGAGTGAGGGCAGGACAGTGGGCAGACCCGGAGCCACTGGTGTGGAGACTGGGCTGTGAGCATTTGACAGCTCCCACGCCCTCGTGCTCCTGGCTTCCTCAGACGGGGCAGGCTGGGGACAGTCACCTAGCATTCGTTCAGCACAGAGGGTGGGGTTTTCTTTGCCATGGAAAGTGGCGTCTTACTCAAAGTGAGCCTTTCGGGCCACGTATATACAACAGCAGCAGCTCTTGGTGGCAGCTTAATGATGGGGCACAGAGGACTCCTTGTGTACGTTTATTTGATTTTCTTATCAAGAAACTAAATTCAGTTATTTCTTTGCCAAACTGAAAAATATTAAAATAACACTTCCAGATTTGGTTGGGGAGTGGGGTGGAATTTAAATTTAGAGAGCATAAAGGGAAGGGAGCTCATTGCAATTAATTTCACCTACATCCACGTGACATTCCCATTGTGGACTAGAAAACTGCCAGGGAGACCTAGAGGAGTTCAAGGGAGACCTAGAAAAGGCCCCGCATGAGTGGGAGGGAAGGACCAGGGGGTGGGCTGGCCTTATAGGTGGCCGTCCCATTCATTCACTTCTCAAACACATATTGATCACTAGACTCTGTCGAGCGACCCTCTGCATAAAGCACCACACAGTGTCCTACAGGAAGTGGACTTAAGTTGGTGTCGGCACCTCTCATGAAGGACCAGGTGTGAATGAGGTGAACACAGTGGGAACTTCACTGAGGTCTCAGTCTGGATCCCTTTCTCCTCATTCCACACCGCCTGCTCCCCTGGAAGTGACATTCCATTCTCATGCACATGGCGGTGGCACCGGCTGGCTGGCCGCAAGCTGCAAACCCATAAGCTCATAAGAGGACTGCCCGAGAGTGCTAAATCTGTGTGTGCCCGTCCCAATTCCAAACCGGGTGAAAACATGCAAAGACAGCTCCGCCCTCTCACTGGGCAAAAAGATGCCGCTCGACCTAAATTCCTGCACTGGCAACCCGAGCCTCTTCCTCACCTGTTCTTAGCCACCTTAAAGGTTTCGTTTCTCACTTAAACGCTGCTGCGCCTTGCGCTGTTGGCCAAATATCAAAGGTCAAAGGTCGGGGCTGCTGCCTCCACCGGCTGTGGCTTCCTTCCCTGCCTGCCGGTCCCTCCTGCCTTACTCTGGTCTCCCAGTGCCATCTGCTGCTTCTGGCTCCCCGTGCCTTGCCTTGCAGTGGCTGGCAGGATGTGGCTTGTATGTTCTGGAGCCAAGGTCGTGAGTGCTATTAATGACTGCTCCTGAGGGCAGCAGACGGACCTCTGCTGGAGTTCCCCATGCCCTCAGCCAACACCTTATGTCAAGCACCAAGAATAGACCTAGGGACACCTGCCCTAGGCTGCCCTGTCACC